ATAGCCTTGTAAGCAGAGTAATTACCGCAGATTATGTTTGTTTTTGTTGTTGTTGTTGTTGTTGTTGTAAAGTTACTGTGGATGAGTATTAAAGATCAGTTAACTTACTGCAAGTTCTACGACAATCAATGAATCAATGAATCAAGTTCATTGTCTTTACGTGAAGCATGGTTACCCAGTTGCCCGAGCCAGAGGATCACGTATTAAACGTAAGACAATAAAAAATTGTGTACAAATAATATAAATCTGGCGATAAAAATATCAATTGAAGTGTTTACAAATGTGTAAATTGAATGTAATGGTAAGGAGAGAAATATGAGAAATTCATGTACATATAGACGATAATAACTATAAACAAGAGTTGCACTAGCTGACAGCTGGGTCCTAATTTGCTGAAATCACAGGTCTTGAGCTTACGAATGAACTCGCTAATCCTATTTGAAGTTAATTTATATCAGCAGGTAGTTTATTCCAGAGATGACTAACTTTATAAGTGAAAGAGTTATAGAAAAACTCATTATTGTAACTAGGCTGGACTAGATTAATACCCCTACTTCTTAAGTTATATCTGGTTTGGCGAATTTGTAAGAAGTTTTTGACTGGCTAATAGAGTTAATGCACTTGTACAATAAAATAAGAGAACTATAATAGCGTCTATGTTCAAGAGACTGCATATCACTCAAGGCTAAGGTAGAATCATAATCAAGATTGTTGCCTAAATTTGGTAAAGTTTCTAGTGCATATTTGTTGACTAACTCTAGTTTAGAGCTTAAAGTTTTATTGATTCCAATAAGTAGTGGACTGCAATATTCCAAGTGAGGACTGAAGCAGGTAGGACTTGTAGAGAGATAGAGACACGCTGTGAGGCATCAGTCTTTTGAGTCGTCTTAGAGCACCAGTCTTGGCAACAAAGCCAAGAGTTTTTCTGTACTACAGGTCTCGGGACTACTCAGAAGATATTCATTCTAGCTGTAAGTTACGGTGGCCCACAACCGTCACGGCAAAAGAAATAACCTCACGGCAAAAGAAAAAGACTCACGGCAAAAGAAAAATCCCCACTGCAAAAAGAAAAAGACTCACGGCAAAAGAAATAACCTCACGACCAAAAAAATATGAGTGTCCTCACGACATGAAGAGAGCTTGGGGGCTGGGACGAGTTGTCGAGCCCCCACGCTCTCTTTTATGCTGTGAGGACACAGTTAACTCTTTTGCCGTGAGGTGACTTATGGCGTAAAGTGGCGTTTTACACCATACCCCTATCTTGTGGAGCCTGTGTTTAGAGGTCGCCCCACCATTCCCCGGTTTTACTGTATTTATTTACGGTATTTTACTGTATTTCGTCCTATTTGCGTCATACACAACGAATATATGAAATTCAGACATCTGAACTGCGGTTACAAAAACGTATTTTGTGCACGATCCTCGCAGTAAAGAAATAAGCGTCACCCGCATGCGAAGGTTATTTGGGAACCTCGCAAAAGTTTTAGTTGAATAACCTGAACGTCTCTATGATTCCTCTTGATTCAACCTTTATGGCAGTAAAGCCCAGAACACTCCAGAGGAGGAATCGTGATCGCTCAAATGTTTGGAAAAATTCACGTGTCACACCGATAAAAGGGAAAACATCAAATCTCCCTTCTTGTGTATAATGTTTCAGGGAAATATTTAGGTTTTCACGAAATGAAAAAAGAAATTCATAGGTCAAATCACGCCACACGCTGGTTCATAAATTAACGAATCATACTCGCCTTTCTGTAAAAAATTCAAGTGATCGATTTTGGCCGTAATCACGCTTTACGTATTTACCTTTTGCCACACTCACTCGATATACCGAGTGCTAGTTCAATATTAACCGAAATATTTTTTAAGTGCAGTGTTTGATCCTTATTTGACTGTTTTTAAAGCACCGATAAAAAATTTTAACATCGACCCTGACAGACAATTTGTTCCTTTTCTTTTTTTCAATTCAACAAGAACTTAAAACTGATTCAATCTGGTTGTATATTTAATTATTCTAGCTAAGGTTTCAACTTTGAAGTCTACAGTACCATGAGCCGTTGGAAAAAAATCATTTGTGAGTTTTAGGTGTTGTTACGGGAGTTGGAAACGTTTTGCTGGAATTTGATTGTTAAAACTAGTTATCTAATCGTTCCAGGCTACGTTTCTACATGACTACAGCACTTAGGACTGTTTATATTATTTGCTTTAATGTTAGGTCTCTTTGAGTAACTTCATCAGCAGTGCAAATATCTCACTTTGCGTGGTTTAGCTACTAAAACAGCTGAATTTTTTTGGCACGCTCCCTTTCACCATTTTCTGAAGCCAACAGAAAACGCTTGGAAAAAATTCTATTGATTTCCGTGTGGTTATGGGATGTATCGGACAATACTTGCTCCCTGTTTAAAAAGTGACCCTCGTTGACTATCAAATCTTGCTTTGGAGACAATGCGTATTAATTAACATAAATTGACGTCACTCGGGTTAATATTTCGCCTCATCGTAGCGGCTTAGAGAAACAAAAGTACTTTAATTTACATAACAAGAGACACATTCCTCTAGGAATATGTCGCAGCTAAGAAGCCCATGATCATAAATTTCTGCATCAGTGCATTGCTCATTTGAATGCGGAAAATTCGAGTTGATGCCGTCACTCCAACAAAATATCGTCGTGAATATTTTAGTCCAGGAGCTCTGCTACTCAGTGCTACAATGAAATACTGGGACAGTATAATATGACAATGGTGTAGGCATCGCAAGGAAACAGTTGTTTGAAGCCTTATAACAGTAAGGTTTCGCCGGTTTGGGCGAGCTGGCAAGATGAAAACAATATTGGGTTTGGCAATTATAGCTTGTGTTGTGTTTGAAGCATCTCTAACGGTCATCGACACCAACAGCGAAACAGGAAAATCTGCAAGTAGAGATCAGGGTAGGTAGAAAAAACATGATGCACCCCAGTCTTCAGTTATTTGTGGCTAACTTCACACCATTCGTGAGGTAAAGGGACTGTTCTGTCGCAATGTCTTGACAGTGATTTTAGAAAAATACGATTTCAAAATTGGTTCTAGGGCAATACTTGCAGCAGATTATTGATTTAAACTGTGAATATTCAGTACTAAGCTAAGAAATTATGTTACGAAAGGAAATGTTTGATTTCGACAAGAATATAATAACCCGCTTAAACGAGAAATAATTGTTGTGATTAAATTATTGTGGTGTAGTTAAATTTTATCTTCGTGAACAAAGATCATGAGGCAAGCCGAAAGGTGACTCCGACAAAAGTTAAAATTTGAAGCTTGTGTTTAACCATTAACTGATTTCAACCGGAAATAGTGTTACTATTAAATCAAATCACGCATTTTCGCTCTTAAAAATGTTAGAATTAGCAAACTTCGCTAAGAATATATTAGCCAATTGTTGTGTTCAATAAGTGCAACGAATTACTCACAAATCGAAGGAGTACTCGAGCAACGTTTCTCTCGTGAATCAATGAAATGCATTGGCAAAGGAGTCATGTTACAACGAATTTTCTTTCTACGTACACGGATTGACTCTTTATAACCAAAGCCAAAAAGTCTGAAGGTAGTCGCTCTGGTTCAGCTTATTGATAGAGAAAATTCACGGCTAGATGCTTATGCATTTTGAGAATTGATGTCTACTAAGAAATCTTGTAGTGTTTTGAACCTTCTCTCGACTCGATGAATTTTCTAACACGGCCACCGAAATATAAACAACGCCAAAGCGGAAGAGTTTTAGGGTTTTAATTACATAGAAGTCAATTCAGTTTAGTTTACCGTAGTTTATGAGTGAAAATTCACGGTTGGATTCTCTTGAGAATGGATGCTTACCTCCCCCCCCCCCAAAAAAAAAAATTGTTAAGATAAGGAGAACCTTTCTATTCAATATTATTACCTCTAAAGGCAACTTGAATAATCAGCTAGAGCGCGGGACATCGCTTGATTATTATCAGTTTTCAAAGTCTTCATCACAGGCTCGTCAGAATTTTAATTGTTATTTCACACAAGATACTTTGTAACTTCAGAGGAAAGGCCGGTACAGATAAAATCAGTCATTTAATAGCCCTTTCGACAGCTAAAATAATTTTGCCACAGACAGTATTTTCTAATAATAGAACTTTACGGACATTTTGCCACGGGCCCGTCAAACACTTTCTCTATGAGAGGACGAGAGTGTTCTTCGCCTCCCGTTTTTTTCATTCTCCATTTTTCCAGGCTGTGCCTTTGTTTTAGTTTTCTTTCTCTTGTTAGACAACAACTCCTTAACGATAAGCGAAGCTTAAAACTTACTCCTTAGAAAAGGCCGCAAACGGAATTAGATAAGACCCTCGTTCCTGGGAGATGGAAACAGATCACTGTTCTTGTCTGTTCCATTTTTAACGAGGACATGGGTTGTCATGGTTTTAGAAGCTTACCTGCTGCATTTAATAAAAACTGTAAAATTTTTAAAGAGCAACTCAAGTCAAAATCCTTGAAAAGAGGCTTAACGCAAAATTTGGGAGTGAACGATATACGGACGAAATCAAAGGCCGGGAGCAATTTAATTTGCCGGAGAGATTTAAATTGCATAAATCTGTTTTTTTTAAATCTCAGTATAGTATGGACCTTTCTGAAAAGGTGTTAAAATACATGTCCGGTAATGAAAAAAACTGTACGGAAAAAAAAAAAGCGTTGGTAAATCTCTCATGAAAATATTTAATGTGGGTTAGGTTCTTACCAAAAATAGGATTCAGGATTTCGAATTTCATCACCAGTTCGTCAATGGGATGACATTTATCATTGGCTTTTTTTAATTTCTCTTTTTCAATTTTAAATATCGTTAGCTGATAGGGGTTGAAAAACCTTGGTTAGTTATGAATATGAGTCATCATGAAATAACTGATATTACGAGCTTTCCGATCGGGAAAGAAACCTATTTTACCAGTTTATTGCACCGGTAAATCCAAGAAAAGTTTATCTTATAAAACAATAGACCGCACTTTTATATTTCTATATATCGACGGTTTTGGTGGCGTAGAAAGTGGTTTGTTAATGAATCGCATCCGGCACGAGTCGCCTAACATCTCGCGTGGTTTATTACGCCGGTAAACTAGTAGATTCCTTAATTCGGTTCGCATATAGAATAACTGTGGACCTTAATGAAAGGCATGTATCGATTTCTCTACGGTTGAGTTTGAAGTAAAAAAATATTGACAAATGACAAAGCAGGAAGAAAACCCAGTCCTAGTTCGCAGATTTAAGTCTTTTCTTTTTTTTTCGTTGCGGGATATATTTTGAGTTGTTGAAAACCTTTAGAAGTTTCTGGTAACCATTCGCATCGGCAACGTTTGCGCAACTAGAGCGTAACGAAGATAAAACGAAATACTTAGATTTTCGGACCAGCTAAGACTATGTTTACAAAATAATATTTACTTCGTGACTTAGTGGGAGGGTTGAACGGGAAAATATTTGGCTCGAGGTCGTAACGTGCGGACTATTGTCTCTTTTCACGGCACCTAGTATTTTCTGCGAGGAAAACGTTTTTCGAAATTTTTTTCATCTACGAAGTGGAACTTTATATCCTAGCGCCCTCACCTCGAATAGTGAGAAGATAATTTTATATGTTTTCTGTCATTTCCCCTAATATAAACGCTCCACGGCCTTGTTTCTTATCCCATCTTGATTGGCACGTTTTCGTCCGGTATCGCGGTTGAGTTACAGTTTTAGAAATAATGGAATACCGTTCACCTGTATTAAGCGATCACTCAAGGAGAATGGCGGAGTAACCGCACAGAATAGGGGTATAAAACGAAAACGATAAAAAACGCCATTTTATGCCATGATTGACTATACCTATACAAATACTACTAACATTGATTTCTGGAGATAAACATGGATAAAGCTTTGCTTGAAAGATTATTTTTTGTTTTATTTGAGTGGTTTCGCTTTAAGTGACCGTTCAATAGAGGTGGAGGAGATTTGGAGGACACAATACAAACAGACCATTTTTAGTGATGTGATCTTTAAGTTAGAAGCTTGGGGCGTTTTGAATTGATCAATAAAACAAAGCTAACTTAAAAATTTCTTGAAATCGCAATTGTAAAAAACAAATTTTGTGTTTGAAGCCCTTAACCACTAACAGAGACTGACTTCTAGTTTATGATTGCAGTTTCACCTTTGAATCAAATGTAAAGGTCATGAGAATGAAGGAAAAGATCACCAATTTAGGATACTTCTGATTGTCACACAAATTCTACTTAAAGTGTGGAGAATATGAAGTATAATGTTAGGCCGTGAATGGCTAATTCATCACGATAATGTGTACATTGAGGTCTAATCGACCTCTCGCAGCCAGTTAGACAATGTGACCTGTTTAATTCCTCCAGTCCGAAACTCGTCTCAGTCCTTCTTCAGTTGGACGCACTGAGGGAGATGGGAAGGAAGAGAAAGCAGAGACGACTAATGTATTCCCGTCGTCCTCTTGGTTACGTCTCCAACTCTCTCGCACAATTCTAGCGGCTAATAAGAGGCGATATAGACGAAACAGCAGTACTACCACTTAAAATTTGTAATATGTTATTCTATCGTAGCTTCTGACGAAGAGATCTTAATTATCCTTGGAAACGTTTTCCCACCAAGCCAGCCAGAAAGTAAACCGCAGCCATTCAAGCCTAATAAATCCTACAAAAAGATTCCCAAGTGCATGAAAAAAGAATGCATTAAAGAAAGCGACAGCATGTCCCATCTGATGGACACATCCGTGGAGCCTTGTGAAGACTTTTATCAGTTCGCGTGCGGAGGATGGCTTAAAAAAGACCTTCCCGATGATCATGCGCAGTGGTCCGTATTTACTCGCTTAAATGAAGAGGAAGAAAATTTACTGAAACGTCTCATTGAAGGACAAAAAAACTCAGGTATGAAAACGTGACAACTAAGTATTGAAGTCTGTTGTTGTCGATTGCGGGGCGGCAAGTCACGCGACACTAATATACTGCGATTGTGTCGATGAATGGACTATCAAAAGGGAGTCATTATTTCCCAGTGTAATCTGTTGCCCTAGTCTAAAGAAATGCCCCCGAAATAGATTCTTGGGTGTCGGGATGTTACGTGCAGATGTCCCTTGAAGCGCGTGACGATGTGATCTGTTTAGCTAACCACACTTTGGAGAACAATGTGAAGCCTGCATTTACCATCGATTTCATGTCGTCTTAGAAAAAAATGTTCTTCAGTGTAGGGCATTCGGCATTAGGGTATATTTTTGGACGCGGTTAATCAAAAGAAAAAAGATAAATAAAGGATCCAACGCAGATTTAGAGGAGACGAGTTACTTTATTTTATGAGGCTTTTAGCTGCGATGGTTTCACTGGTTGGTTTATGTCTGATTATGATAAGAATAAAGAGAGGAGAATTATTCAAATTCAAAACATGAACAAAGTGATTGATTGTCTTGCATTATAAAACCAAAGCTACAGTAATCCCAACTACCAATCAGAAGAAAGGAAAATACTTTTATGAGCCAATGAGAACTCAAAGTAAAAACTACCAAACTGTCTAAAGCGCGGGAAAACGTGGGCAACCAAGTCATGATTGGTTCTCGTTTTGCCGTCTGATTGGTTGAGAGGATAATGCGATTTTTTTCTGGACCAATCACAGAGCGAAATAATCAATTAAACAATACAATGGTGGATTACTTTCGACACACTACCGGCGCTGATAAAATGTGCTGGTCTTCACGATACTGATTCTTAGAATTTGTTTCTTCTTATGTCTACAGATAACAGTGTGGGGAAACTAGTTTACAACTGGTACGCTGCCTGCATGGACGAAAATGAACGCGACAGACTGGGAGCTAATCCACTACTGGAGTTAATACACAGCACCATGGGAGAGAAGTTCAAGCCTTTTGTACCAAACAAATTTTCTGATAAAGACTGGATACTAGAAGATGTGCTAGGCATCATTCATAGCAGTCTTAATGTTTTTCCGTTTTTCAAAATAAATTTGGGCATCGATCCACGGAATTCCTCTTCGCCAACACATCTCTCGGTAAGACTAGTTGAAATAGGTTCTAAACATTGTAAACAAAGATACGTATGAACGAATGAACCAACAAACAGTAGTCCGAACGAAAAAACGAAAAACCAAACTAACTGACCAACCAACGAGCGAGCGAACAACGAATCGACGAACAGACGAGCGAACGAACCAACAAATCAACGAACAGACGAGCGAGCAAACCAACGAATCAACGAACAGACGAGCGAGCAAACCAACGAATCAACGAACAGACCAGAGAGCAAACCAACGAATCAACGAACAGACTAGCGAGCAAACCAACCAACGAAGGAACAGACGAGCGGATGAACCAACGAATCAACGAACTAATAAATGAGCGAACAATCTCTGCTGATGATAGATTTTAGTGCTGGTAATAACTGAAAACCGGGCGCATTTTGCGTGGGTGCGAGCCTGCTGATACTGCTCGGAGATTCGTAACTGTTACCCTCCCCCAGGGCGTGCCGCCTTGTAATTTGCCAAAGGAGATGTACAAAGGTCGCATTTTTCATGACTTAATTGACAATCATCGAGCTGCATTTTCAATAGAGTACCTATTTAAAAGGCTATATAAGAGAGATGCCCAAACAAATAATGACTAATTTGGGGTCGCAAAAATTACCTTTACCCATAAGTGACTAAGATGGGGTCTATAATTGGCCACGGAATAGACTACAATAGCGAAGAGGTGATCTCGTACCCAGGCCCTACCGTGTAATTGAAATGTGCGGAACCCCGTGAAAGGTCTGGGTAGAGACTAAAGTAGGGGTTCCTGAGAGGTCAGCGGCACATACTCAGAAAAAATTGGCCCAAGTACCCTTCCAGGTGACGACCCTTCGCAGCTGCACCCTTTATTTTTTATGCACCTCTAGAGACGTAAATTGGTCTACAGATCTTAAATAAAAGAAGTCACTTCCCTGGTGTTATTCAAATCAACCTTTTTGCCTCAACAGATTGATGCAGCAAAGCCGATGATGCGGTTACATGACTCACATTTATCACAGGAAGAGCATGATGTATTGGTAAGTTACTAAATCAAAAAATACATTTCATGGTGTAAATACATTTTCATGGTATAAACAATCACTCTGCTTTAAGAAACCGCATATGCAAATAATCACATCGGTATGTTTTAAAATTTGAACGGAAACGCTAACACCGGAAGTCGAATGATGTCGTGTCCAGACTATTCCGCGCGCTCTCCCGTTCTGAAATGACGTTCCCGTCCTCTTGCTAAATCTCTCTAATCTCTCTAATATGGGCCTTCATGCCGCGATAATACGACTGAGCCCGCTGATACACGCGGGAGAGCAGCGGTGAAAATGGTGAGTAGCCTCTGTGACGCCCCCTTTGAAAACTCCTGGCTACGCCCCTGAAGAGAGCATCAAATTAAATGAACGAAACTGTAAAATCGAAAAATATTGTGAGATGCGCAAGTTAGTATAATCAGCACTAATGCATGTTTAACTTTGGCGGTAACGAGTAGTGTTATAATCGCATTAACCCTAGACTAGAGTTGTATAACCAGCATCCTCGCTCTGAGTTTAAAGACTCACAAATGGCTCAGTTTTATTCCAAGACCAAAATCATCTCCTTATATCTTTTCATACTCTAAATTATGTTTCCTTCTTTAACTACTCAGGTTAGTAAGGCTTACATGGTGTTGATGGCAAACCTAGCGAAGCTTTTGGGCGCCCTAGATTACCAGGAAGCGAATTCTATCGTTCAGGAACTTCGGGAGATTTTACTCCTTGAAGTTGACCTGATTAAGGTAACTTTTTTTGCTGCCTCACCTCGCTTCAGCGCTTCTTGTAATAAACTTGTGTATACCACTTAGCAGAAATGTTTTTTCTAAAGGCCATGAAAATTGAAGTGAAGAAAGAAGAGAGGGGTAATAAATGGACACTGCTCGATTTTCAAGAGAACCTTCCAGAGGTACTGTATTTGGAAAGCGTTTAAGTAATAAGTAGCATGGTTCACACCGAAAGACGGTAATTTAAAATGAATTTTAAAATTGTATTGAAACTTTCCAGAAGGCGAGAATGCTGGAATCCGTTAAATTCTTTTAAGTCTTCAATGGGACGTGTAAAACCAACACCTGCAGCTTCGATTTTCAGGGCATTGTGGGATTATATTGACTTTTACGAGGTGAAAAATTGGTATGACACTTCGAAAAAAATGGCTCCATTTTTTCTGATGTATGGATCACAGTTCTAGTCCAGGGACGGGTGGGTTGCTTTTGTCTTCGATGCTTGATCTCTGTTACCATTAGTATCTAGTAACCTTTCGTATCTACCTTAAATCAAATGGACTAGGGTTTATTGTCAAGAGCGGTGGAATGGGGGGTGGGGTGTGGTGTGCCACTGCACTTTCCTGTCACTATTGCGATCAAAATCTAAGTTCCGCGCCCATTAATTTAACCACTGTAGGCGAAAGCTCTACTTCGATTTAATTTTTTTCTTTTTTTCACCTTTTAGTTTAAATGGTCGAGATACTTCACAAAGTTAACGGAAGGTTTGAGTAATAACAACTCTTTCTCTGAATCCGAAGTAGTGTTTGTTGAGGCTCCTGTTTATCTGGCTAAGGTGGTCAAGATTTTAAAGAACAGGCCTCTAGGGTAAGACTAGAAATGATTCTAATCAATAAACTCTTGATGAATAGAATAAACTTTTCAAGAATGGTTTAAGTACAATAGCAACAATTCACTGGTGAGTCTTTATATCTTAGTTGGAGCTATTCGACAGTATTTCAAACCAAGGTTTTGGTGAGGATTAGAATTGGTAGCCTCTTGAACAGGCGTCCTCATTACTTTTTATAGCGTTTTTCAGACGAGCATGTGTGATCGCCAAGCGCTCGTCAGTTAGACGCTTGGTAGGCAACCTCTTTCTTTTTCAGTTGCTTGTTGCGCTTGCCTGAAAAACGTACACATCAAAGGGAGAAAAATAGAAAAGAAAGATAAAAAATAATTGAAAAATTGAAAATAATTGATAAACCCTCTAAAGCGGGTTAATCTAAAGGCTTTTATAATTTCTCGCGCATAACCGTCGCTCAATTATCGGGACATCTATGGGCCGTTTAGAGTGACCATCAAGGTCGTTGTACTGCAAGTTTCCGCAGTACCTTCTACATCTGACGTACTTTCTACATCTGGTTGGGTTTCACTTATACCTATTCAGACTCTTAGACGGAGAGACAAAATTTATAATCGAATTTAAAGAACTAAATGAGAAATCAAACACAGAAGTTAAGCCGTTTGAAAGCATGAGATAGCATGAGTCTAACGGTAAAAAGTTTGAAAGAGCTTTGGGCAAAGGAGTTTCTTCCCAACATACGAGAAGAGATCTGCAAGGAAGTTGATTCGCTCAAAGCTGGCCTTCAAGACCTCCGAAAACGATTTGAAGAAATTGAAAAGTCCCAAGACTTCATTTCTAAGAAATACGATACAGTGATATCAACCATTAAGGACGTAAAAGAACACAATGACAGTCTAAAGGGCGATATTAGAGTGATAAAAGAAGACATTGGGAAGCTTGGAAACGATTATCTTTAAGTTGAGATCCAGTTGGATGAGCTTGAGCAGTATGCACGAGGAGATTGCCTCGAAATAACTGGTATTCCGATCGTACCAAATGATAACCCAACATTGCTGGTAAAAGAAATGTCTGAGATTATGGGAGTGAACCTCAGCCCAAACGATATATCGATCGCTCACCGTTTGCCGCCGACGAAGAAAGTGAAAGATCGACTAATCGTAAAATTCACTCGAAGAGAGAAAAGAGACGAAATCTACAGCAACAGGAAAAGATTAAAATCTAAGCGGACTAAAGACCTTCCGTCGGTGGTCTGCGAGCCGGAATCTGTGGCTGTAAGTCATAAAGCACTAATTCATGTCAATGAAAGCCTGACGCCGTACAGAAAGCGACTACTGGGCAGAATTTTACAATTCAAGCGCGACCGTAACTACAAGTTTATCTGGACGGCATNTTTGGGGGTTTTTATTGATGAACATTTAAAATGGGATGCTCAGCTCCAGCACATAAACAATAAAATAACAAAAACATCGGAATTCTATTTAAGCTTAGACATTATTTACCTGTGAGCACACTCAAACAACTGTACTATACTCTCATATATCCGTATCTAACATATGGATTGATGTGCTGGGGATCTGCATACCAAACCAGGTTAAATAAAATCAAAATAAGTCAAAAGAACAGTATCCGCAGCACCTTCTTTGCTAGCAAAAGAGAAAGTTCTACACCATATTTCACACTATTAGAAATCTTAAGATTAGAGAATATTTTTAAATTAAAAATTGGCTCTCTTGTGCATAAAATTCAATATCAAAAAAAGAATATACCTCCAGTCCTCTATGATCTAGCCCAACCAGCTTCAGCTGTCCATAATTACTCTACTAGGTATGCCACTAATCAAAACTTGTACAGACCATTCTCTAGAACCAATTATGGTCTAGCAAGATTTAGTGTGGTGGCGTCACAGATCTGGCAAACGATACCTATTAAAATAAAGTGTCTCCCTGCCAAAAGCTTTAAAAAAGAATATGAACTCTTCCTACTTGGCAGGCAGACATCTTGAACAACTTTAACCTATCATAGAGCTCTATTTTACAATTTCAACTATTTAGTATATGTGCTATCTTCTTAAGTGTATTTAACTTTCACCCATCCGTAACTGCTCTGTGGTGGTGGCCAACTCGAAAGCTTGGCTCCTTTGGCTACTACACACTCTTTCCACTGCTTTGTGTAAATTCATGTATAGTTAGAACTCTCTTCTTTTTTTTTTTTTTCTACTTTTTCTCTTTCTCGTTGTTGTACTTTTAGTAGAATAAGTGTGAATAAAGACTGAATGAATGAATGAATGAATGAATGAGTGCCTGAAGAGTGATCCTCCCTCAAAATCTTTTGAAACTTTTGAAGGGCAACGACTGACTCTTAGACTTTGTCTGTTTAGAAACTGTAGGCTGATAGCAGTCATACTGATACCAAAATCTCTCTCTTAGAGTTGTCGCTAACTACATCACTTGGTTAATAATCCACGAGTATGGCCCCTACCTATCAACGAAATTTCATGACGCTTACTTAACGTTCGCGCAGATGGCTTACGGTATAAAGAGAGGAAGCGCGTTATGGCGGCGGTGCGTGCGCGGCACGACCAAGTCTGTGGATATGGGTGTGTCCATGTTGTTCGTCACTGACAGGGAGTCGGAGTTTACTAATGGAAGTATGCATCATGTGAGTATCACAATCTATTGCCAAAATTGCACAATTTACCTTGAATGAAGGGTGGAAACGTGTCAAACAGAACAGAGCAACCGTTATTATTATTATTATTATTATTATTATTATTATTATTATTATTATTATTATTATTAAAAAACAGGTACCACAGAATAGGGGTGTTATTTAAAACGGTAGCCATTTTGTCCCATAATTGACTTCTTAATACAAAACATTGGTTTTGGAAGATGATCGTGGATTAAATTTTCCTTGAAAGATTATTCTTAGTGTTTTTTGAGTGGTTCCACTCCAAGTGACCGTTAATACAGATGGAAGACATTAGAAACAGGCCATTGGGATTCAGCAAAGGGTGACCGTGACCGTGACCGTGACCGTGACCGTGACCGCGAAAATTACAGTAACTAAGGGGAAAAGAATTCGGGACTTTGACTTTGATACAGGTTTGACTGTGTTACTATGTTACTTTCCCAACTTTACTTAAACTCCCAGTAGACTTAACCTTGTATTTTTAGTTGTAACATCTAAACGCATCGAAAGGCTTTTTTGTTTACAAGAAACTTGCTTTTTGATCTATATCAGGCGGATCAAATGATCGAGAATATACGCGGGGCATTTATTGAAAACTTAAAATCCGTGAACTGGATGGACCATGAAACTAAACAGGCAGCTAAAGAAAAGGTGAGACTAAAACATCTCTACGTTTTATAAACAATTACAAAACTTTTTTGTGCTGTGGTATGATTTTATTTGGATATATTTCTGTTGCAGGCAGAGGCTATGATCCAACAGATAGGTTATCCCCCGTTTATCACGAATCTAACGTTATTAGAGCAGTATTTTTCTGGAGTAAGTAACATCGAGCTTTCAATAGTTTTTTATTTATGTACACCCTTCCTATTTCCCTATAATAAATATTACTTGATCCTCCCCTACGGATCTGTAGTAGTCTTATGACAATTTTCTATATTCCCTTTTTTTATACTTTGTTAGTGACGGCTCATCCCCGCTCCGTACCCCCTGAAAAACATATAGTACCCACCCTCCCCTCCCCCCGTATGCGATGAATAATGTCGGCCACTCTTCCTTACGAAGGCTTTAAGTAATGTCGATACTTTTCCTCTTCAGCTGGAAGCTAATCCTAAGACGTTTTTCAAGAATCGACTCAAAGAAAACAAAATAAGACTGAAAAACACTTTGGCATCAAGAGGTCAACCCCTGAGTCGCTTTAGATGGGACATGCTGCCGACTGAATCAAATGCATATTACTCTGTTGAAAGCAATAAAATCGGTCAGTGGTATCCTGCGCTGAAAAATGACTGACGCTTATAGTATGGTCTGATCCATAAATCGATAAGATAGAGCAGCTTTGGTGAATGTAGATGCTAAAACTAAGAATGCTATTTAAAAAAAAAAACCCTCAGAAATTTGAATAAAGTAAGCGACTTAGTAAATGAGGGTGGAGTGGGGGAGGGCATTGAAAGTCGCCTCGGTGAGTTGAGTTCCTTCATTAATAATTATTATGGTTATTATCTTCATTATTACTATTATTGTTATTATTATCATCATCATTTTCATCGGGAGTGGCATTGTCATGATCTTCACTATTATTACTATTATTTTAATTATTGTAAGAAATAGACAACTTTTTTGAGAGACATGTTTCGGCATGCTTATGCCATCTTCAATTAATGAGTAACAGAACGTGGGTAATTATATAACAGACAAGTAGATGAATGAAATATTTACAGTATGATGTAATACAAAAGAGGGTACTAATTACAACGTGACACCCAAACATCAAAGGTGTGAACTAAAACGCTAGAAAAGTGTTATAACGCTGTAATTGTTTGTAAGTTCAGGTTTGATCTTATTTATATAGAGTAGAACAAATACTCCCTTTCTTGCTTTAGTATTCTGGATTCTGCTAACAACTCAATTGATTTAAAACTCAAAGAAGCTTTTTATATAAATAAGATCAAACCTGAACTTAACAAACAATTACAGCATTATAACACTTTTCTAGCGTTTTAGTTCACACCTTTGATGTTTGGTGTCACGTTGTAATTAGTACCCGCTTTTGTATTACATCATACTGTAAATATTTTATTCATCTACTTGTCTGTTATATAATTACTCACGTTCTGTTACTCATTGATTGAAGATGGCATAAGCATGCCGAAACATGTCTCTCAAAAAAGTTGTCTATTTCTTACAATATTTATCATACTTGCTACTACTACGACCTTATGGAAATATTATTTTAATTATTAGTATTATTGCAACGAAGCAAAAATGTTGATACAAGCAAAAGTTTCAACAATTTTCACCCTGTATACATTTAGTATAATTTCGGAGCTGAGCAAAGAGTTTCCAGCAATCTGATTGGTCGAGCGGTTCCTTATATGATGCTATATATAAAATGTTAAACTAAAATGTTAATAAATTTTACTAAAATGTTATGATTTTAGAAATTCCTCTGTTGTTCAGCTTTGAAATTATACTAAAACAATTGTTCGCCTTAGGTTCAATAAATATTGACAAATAATCCCCTCGACTTCGTCTCGGAGATTATTCGACGATATTCACCGAACCTGAGGCGAATAATTGTTAAATATTTGTACAATCTCTATCTCTTTTTCTCATATTTGGTGTTGTTTTATTCGTTATATGTGTTTCTTCACAAACATATTATAGCGAAAGAAACAGCAACACTGATAGAACACAGGGTGAGGGGGGAGGGGAGGGGGAGGGGAAGGGTTATCTTCTCTTGTAATAGGTATCAACCTTACGGAAAGTGAAGCTGGAAAATAGAAAGAAAATAAATCAGTCTCAACAGGTTTTGCCGCAAATTTATGGTTCAAGGCTTGTGAATTGGTAAACAATATTTTCGACGAAAGACCTTGGAAATCAAACTATGATCGAGGGCAGGTCCTAAGTTGTTTACAGCTAAGAGACCTCTGCACTGCAAATACAGCTCCTTCTTGATATGAGTTATTTAAGTAGTCTAGGTTAAAAAAGCTTTGTTCTTGTTACCTAATAGCCTTATACAATTCTTTGTTTCAGTTGTACCAGCAGCAATTTTAAGACCTCCGTTTTATCACATTGCCAGCACACAGTGAGTACAAAACTCCCAATTTTTTTTTTGCGCACACTTGGCTAACGAACCAATGTTTTATTTCAAAAACATTTTCTTTCCAATTTGTTGTCCACTAAAATTATAACTCCCTCAATTTAACGATATGTATTTAATTATTTTCTAAAATTGCTTAATTTGTTTTTTCATCTTTATCATAATTTATCATTTTCTTTTTAGTGCGCAGAATTTTGGAGGAATAGGATTTGTGGTTGGACATGAACTTACTCACGCATTTGATTCTCAAGGTATGTTTTCAGCCACGCGTCATCTATTTTTTAATCTTAACTTTATCTTGAATATTGCTACGTCTAATCTTTTACCTGTATAGATCTCCTTCCCCAAAAAAATTGTTATTTTGTTCATGTGAGTTCAGATTCTTATATTTATCTTGATTAGACCAGCATACTTTCAATGCTGATAGATTCTCAGCAAAAGAGCTCCTGATTTTTCAAGGCAATAAAAAATATTGGTAGCGACACAGGCTCTTTCAGACGCCTTCATTAACAAATAACCCACCAAACTCGGAGAATAAAAAAGCAAGCGACTGAAACGGGAAAAACTCGAATTATCAAGTCGCAATTGGTTGCAAAAACAGGTAATTCCGGATTCCTCTCGACACTAAATTGAAAATTGCTCTAAATGGTAAACTAATCACACTTTATCCTTTTTCCAGGCGCAATGTTCGATGGAAATGGAAACCTGAGAAACTGGTGGGATCAAGCATCTTACGCTAAGTTTGTGAAAAAAGAAGGGTGTATGAAGCGTGAATACGAGCAGTACTCAGTACAGGGACGCCCTGTAAGTTAATGTAGTTCACCCTGTTGTAAAACGGAATTTGCGCGCGAGCAAGATACAGCGAATCCTTTGTTCTGATAGGCCACTTTAAATGCTTTTAGTGAAAATCTAATGGGGCCTTTCATAAATGCTGCAGTCTCGTTGCTGTTTATTCCTTATGGTACGATAAGCCGAAGAATACACGCATTTTGATTGGTTCTTTCTTATGATCTATTGGAGGACAGACGCATAGATGAAGTCACCATTTAAACATTTAATTTTGTTATCATATAAAACATATAGGTTCCATGTTGCTGTGGATCTGTCTAGTAATAGATTACAGAAGACCTCGACTCAACTTCCCCCCC